GGGGGGGGGAGGGAGCGACGGGGGTTAGAGAGGAGAGTCCCTTCCCACCTTGGAACCATGCAGAAACTAGAAATAGTGTTGTAACACTGCTACTTGGAGCTACTTTAGTTCAGGGTTACTTTAGACTTTAGTTTAGTTTTAGCTTTAGCCCCGGACTTTTGCAGCACTGGTGCCTGTACCGCTGAGGAGGGGAGGAGAGTGAGCGGGGGGAGGCGGTGGAGGAGGGGGGGGGAACCAAAAACCCGCGCTCCCTCTTTAGATCCGCCGATGGACGTAGTAGGAATTCATCATGTAGGAATTTCTGTGAGTACTGGTTACGATACAGAAGTGTGCATCTTCATGCTAGGAAGCGATTATGAAAAACTTGTACCTCATCGCGCCAAACGCTAAGTAGATATGAGGTGTGTACGTGGATCTACGAAATGTTAAAAGCGGTAAAACTTGGCACAAAGAATGATGTACTGATTCGTCTGCATTCAGTCGCCACCAGGCTGATCATCGGACGACGTAGCGTTGTTTGGAGAAAGGGGGGAAGTCATAGAGTTACTGACGTCGTACTGACTAGGTCCAGTTGTGGTAACGGTAAGAAATGTATACGACTTAATGGGCCGAAACATTTCTTACCTATTACAGATGTTTGTTTAGTCCCCTTTCTCTTCTTGCTTCGCTTTTTCTTCGTTTTCTTCCCTTTTTCATCATTTCTACTTCATTGTTTTCTCTTCAACCTTCAACAGAGGACTCAGCTATAATTTAATAGCTGTTGTGCTCCTCGAAATTTGCTCAAAATTAAAACAGGCGATTTTGAAAGAAACCGTAGTGATGTAGAAAATTCCTCTGCTGCATTACTTTTTCCTAGGAACGCTGCAGTTTGTGAACAAAATGCTTCAGGCGTTTGCAAAATATGGAGTTTGCCGTGTGGAATGGCCGATGAAAGACTCGCGTAATGGGCATGCAGATCCAGGACGTCCGAAAGGGACCGGTTACGTATATATGGTTCTCGAATGTGATGGAGCGGTGAAGAGTTTATTGCAAGATTGCACACGGGAATCTGGAACAGCTGGTGAATGGTATTTTACAGTGGGCGATGCTCGAAGAGTTAGTGATAATTTATGACTTAGAAAAAAAAAAAAACTATAATTTTGCGAGGTTGTTGAGTATGAATGATTGCGTTAGCTATATATGATTGCGCACATACATAAAATACAGGTGTGTTGGGTATAAAACTGAATCAAAGGCCCTGACATGGCTGCTCTGACGAGGTCTAGTCGCGGTGTTGAGCTAAGGCTTATATGACTTAATGAGCCGAAACGTCTTCTGTCTCATTCTTATCTCCTTCTGTTATGCTGTTAGCTATCGCACTTTCACCAG